GCTGTGATGTCAATTCTTGATTCAACTCCGCGTGTTCATCTCTTATTCTGTCATCATTTCCAGTGTATATGACTCGTTCGTTTGTCGCCAACACTGTGTCCTGTTTACTAGCGCTGTTCTTCGCCGTGGATATCCTTGACCTGTCAGCATTCCTGCATCTAACCCTAACCCTAACTGACGAGTATGCATATATAGTCTGCCGATCCTTTTCAGAGCTCTCCCCCGTCGATGGCCCTTTTCAGGACCAGTCCCAAAATATCGTCAATTTGCCCCCCCCCCCCCCCAAGCCCAGTAATACAGCTGTAGGATGGAACAAGTCTTTCAAAGTGAGTAACGGGAACACAGGGGTAAGGTAAACAAACCTTTTCCCGCGCCTTCAGGAGACTGTAAACTACATCTTTGCGGTGCTTTATTGTGTGAGCTGTAGGAGAAAATCAGCAGCAGCAGGAGGATAAGTAGGAGAGTAGTAGTAGTAGTAGTAGTAGTAGTAGTAGTAGTAGTAGTAGTAGTAGTAGTAGTAGTAGTAGTAGTAGTAGTAGTAGTAGTGGTAGTGGTGGTGGTGGTGATGGTGCTATTTGTAGCAGCAGTAGTAGTAATAGTAGTAGGTAGTAGTAGTAGTAGTAGTAGTAGTAGTAGTAGTAGTAGTAGTAGTAGTAGTGGTAGTAGTGGTGCTATTTGTAGCAGCAGTAGTAGTAGCAGCAGTAGTAGTAAGAGTAGTAGTGGTGGTGGTATTTGTAGCAGCAACAGCAGCAGCAGCAGTAGTAGTAGTAGTAGTAGTAGTGGTGGTGGTGGTGGTATTTGTAGCAGCAACAGCAGCAGCAGCAGTAGTAGTAGTAGTAGTAGTAGTGGTGGTGGTGGTAGTAGTAGTAGTAGTTGTTGTAGTAGTAGTAAGAGTAGTAGTAGTAGTGGTGGTGGTGGTATTTGTAGCAGCAACAGCAGCAGCGGCGGTGGTGGTGGTGGGGGTGGTGGTGGTGGTGGGGGGGTGGTGGTGGTGGTGGTGGTGGTAGTAGTTGCTGTTGTTGTTGTGTTCTCTCTCCTGTCCACAGGTCCCATAAAGCCTGCGAAATCATATGCTTTGGTCATGCTAAGACATTAGGGGAATTCTTTTTATTATAAATGTTGTTTGGATCAACAATGATGTTATAAATAATATAGGGCCTTTATACTAAACCGTAATGGTTAGTTTAGTCTGAGGTCCTCGAAAAGAAAAACATTCTTACATACCAACAAGCCAACAAACAGGCTGTCTACAATACGCCACTGTAGCAGTCAGATCAAGTGACGGTATTTTCAACCCTCTGCCTGGCAGGCGTTAACACTGGCAGTCAACCATGGTTAATGATTATGTGATATTGATTCTCTGTCTAAATTGATGCAGCAAAAATACTCTTTTTGTTTTCTAGATGGCAGTGGATGGAAGGAGGGGTGCTATGTACAACACCCTCTTTTCAGAAGTGGTTTAAAAAAAAGGTGGGGGGGGGGGGGAGGCAAACAGAAAGTGAAGAGAAAAATAGAGAGAAAGCTACAGTGGAAACAGAGCAAGAGAGAAAGTAATTCTCTCCCCCCCCCCCTCCCCCCTCTGTCACACACATGCTTTCGCATATACAACTAAAAAAAAGGAAAGGTCGTTATGAAAACCCGAAAAAGATCCAAAAAGATCCGAATTATAATGAAACTGAGAAACAGATCTTCAATAGGACGTAACACTGTGGGGGAAGACACGAATAAGGCATCCATGCATTCGATGGAAGTCAAAATTTAAGTAGACGGATTAAAGACAAAACATCAACAAATAAGTTACTTAGAAGAAAATATATAAAAATCATTTAAAGTACTAGGGATTAGAGGTTCAGTTCCGCTCCGTATGTGAAAAAAAAAAGTGATTCTTTTACCTCATTCAACTGGCTAAACACTGTTATTTTAAAGGTCAACATGTAAAGAAGTACCACATGAAGGACTGTAGTTCAAGACGTAAGGAAATTCACAGACGAAGGTTAAATAAAGGTCGACAAATAAGTTACTAAGAAAAAGTATATCACAATAATTTAAAACATCACAGAGGAAGGTTAAAGAAGACGCGTCAACAAATGAGCTACCAAGATGAAAAGATTTTTTTTTTAAACGATTTAAAGTTTCACAGAGAAAGGATCAGACGCAAAGATTTAAAGATACCACAGAGGAAGAATTAGAGGTCACAACTGAAAGAAAAGGAAGAGCAGAAAATCAGAGAAGGATTAGAAGGAAGTCGTGATAAAAGGAATGAGTCAAGGAAGAGCATGAGATACGAGGATTTCAAGAATTTACCGCTGAAACGCCAGGGACGATGATATCAATGGCAACCAAGAGAAAGAAGTATTACACAAGTCCAGGATCATATCAGTCAAAGAATTATCAGAAGGTTGAATACAAGTCAAAATTAGAAGGCTCTGTCAAGAGAGAGAGAGAGAGAGAGAGAGAGAGAGAGAGAGAGAGAGAGAGAGAGAGAGAGAGAGAGAGAGAGAGAGAGAGAGAGAGAGAGAGAGAAGTAGAACCCCCAGAGGCATTGGAAACAGTGTATAACAAATAAATGAGAAAGACTGACCACAAGATACAGACAGAAGCAGAGAGATGGAAGGACTCTCTAGATTACAATAGATAAATCAAGGGAGTGAAGGACATATCAGAAGTAGATTGAAAGAAAGTCACAATTTGAAGAATTGGGACAGCAAAGACAAAGGAGTTTGATGACAAAGCAAGTCAAAGTAGCAGAACATGATGAGCGAAAGAAGATAGCAGGCAAGTAAAGTCCGGTAACTTCCAGAGTGTGCACTTACTTGATGAAAGTGGCATAATCTTCAAGGTGAGCCTCACAGTTGGGCCACTTGCAACACTTATTTATATACAACGGGTGGAAAGGGATGTTGCTACTCCCATTGGTGATTACATCCTTAGAAGATGATGTGGAGGAGGTGGAGCAAGTGTTCATCAAGGCTGTGGTATGCTCTTGTTTCCTTCCTGTCATGAAGAAAGACAGACAATGGTAAATATGAAGTATTATTCATAGAAGAGAAGAGGGGAACAATATACAGGTAGAAATAAGTTTACAGAGAATACATTAGACAACAATAACAAATGTAGGTGTATCAAAGCGCACACTTATCATTATGTCTCATGCCGATAAGCACAGGCAGTCATGTTTACCCATTTCACACGGATAAGGCCTGTGCTCTTATCTCACCACCACTATATGGTCAAGCCGTCGGGGAATGTTTTATTTGCTGTTTTCCCATCAATCTTGCTTGTTGTACCCAAATACTTAGGTCCGTTCATTGTCAGGACATGCGCAAAAAACCACAGACTGTCTAAATCGAATTGCTCTAATCCAGCGGTTCTCAACCAGTGGTCGTGACGTGTCCCCTTTGGGTGGATCGAACAGACCTTTGACAGGGGTCGCCTAAGACCATTGGGGGGGAAAAACCAATTCACTGAATTTATGTAGCAATGAAAATAATGTTACGGTTGGGGGTCACCAAAACATAAGGAACTGTATTAAAGGGTCACGGCATTAAGCAGGTTGAGAACCACTGCTCTAATCAGTTTACAGTGTCCATCTGTCTCCATGAGGGCTATTCGTTTGTTTTTCCATCAGTCCATGACACGCTGCATTCTTCTCGAAAATATCTCCACTGCCAGATGTGTTTTTTTTTTATCAGCTTGTCTGAATACAGACCATGTCTAACGTGCATATAACAACAGTGTCTTCATGTAACTAACACTCATTTTCTCACTGCAATGAGAAAATACTCAAGAAAAGTATCATTTCTGCACTACACATTAAAGAGTGCTTAAGTACTAACAGTAGCATTCAAAAGAAACGGAAATCACACAAATAGGACGTCAATTAATTTTTTTTTTTAATCCACACACACAAAATTAGTAATAATAAAAAGTAAATGCAAAAAAGGTACTTAAAAAGAAAGTAAAATGAGCAATCATATTACAGAGAAAAAAGCGCCCAAAGAAACATGCAGAAACCTCACACAGACTCACAACTGTCAAACAAATATATAGACCTCGTGACTGGGACCTCTGAATGTAAAATAAGAGTAACATATAGGTCAACATTTGTAAACAGCATCAAAGATCAACATCTGTAAAACAGACTATCATAATTCAACATTTGTAGTATCAGAGATCAACATGTGTAAAACTATCAGAGATCAACATCTGTGAAACAGTATCATAGATCAACGTCTGTAAAACTATCAGAGATCAACATGTGTAAAACGTATCAGAGATCAACATGTGTAAAACTATCAGAGATCAACATCTGTGAAACAGTATCATAGATCAACGTCTGTAAAACTATCAGAGATCAACATGTGTAAAACGTATCAGAAATTAACATGTGTAAAAACTATCAGAGATCAACATCTGTGAAACAGTATCATAATTCAACATCTGTGAAACAGTATCATAGATCAACGTCTGTAAAACTTATCAGAGATCAACATGTGTAAAACTATCAGAGATCAACATGTGTAAAACTATCAGAGATCAACATCTGTAAAACAGTATCAGAGATTAACATCTGTAAAACTGTATGATAGATCACCATCTGTAAAACAGTATCATAGATAAACATCTGTAAAACATTATTAAAAATCTACATCTGTAAAACAGTATCACAGATCAAGGTAGCAAGAAAAATTTATAGACGGTACCTAACATGAAATCAAGGCCGAAGAGTTGGGATATCCATAGTACCAAGCCAAAGGGTTAACACCTTGTGGTTTCTGGATATTAAAAATAGACCCACTGATGTAAAACTGGATCATAGATCAACATCTGTAAAACAGCATCACAGATCAAGGCTAGAGGACAGAGATTTATAGACCCATAGATGAAAGACAGTGAGGCGTGCTTACGGCTGTGAAGCAGCTGTCAGTCAGAGACCCAATATTATAGAACAATATATCCCAGAACACACAGGTAAACTAGGAGACAGCCCTGGGCCTTACCGGTGATTCCGAAGGCATCCATGCTTCGTTTGAGATATCCAGGGGAAGAGGATGAGAAGAGTCGGTTGGTGGGTCCGTTACTGGTGCCGCTGGTGGAGTAGTTGGACCCACTGTGAGTGTTTGCCACTGTGGTCGACTGGCCGTTGATGGAGTCCTGACCGTTGTCGCCGATACCAGTTTGTTGTGTGACCTCCTTCCACAACATCTGCAGCTCAGTTGGTGACATCATGCCTGGGAACATAACCACAGGGTGATGTTAATCTATAAATAGTTAATACAGAAGTTTATAAGACAGCTATCAGATATGCCAACGCTAATGGTTCCACGCCAGAACTGCAGTTTAATATTGGCGTAATTAGTCAATCATGAAAGATGGTATATCACCGGCAAATTTACAAGTCATTCTGAACATAACGGGTAATTCGCCATTTCGGTGCCGTCAACAACATGCCGCAGTCTTAACAGAAAAGAAGTAACGCTTTCATGCCGTGCAATGTGGAGTACATGTTTAGACGATTAAGATAGTTTTTAAAAAAAGTTAGAAAAAACATCGTTGTTTATCTTCATGAGTACGAAGCACTGGTAGGGTCAAAATGTTTGCGGATCTGATGTCTAGAACGCACCAGAATCTTGACATCAGTGTCTATTTGAGCTTACCGCGTGTGACTAATTGTCTGGAAGAGCAGTCTAAACAATATAAATTCGACTTCCGACCTGTTAGTTGGAACTGTCTCGTAAGTTGAGGAGACCATATATATGCAATTTATAAAGTTGACTTGCTGGTGACCAATCTGTATATCAGAGCTGGCATTTTCAGACGATGTGGCCCTGATAGCTGAATCAGAGGCACACCTTCTGTCCAACTTACTTGTCTGGAAGGAAGAGCTTGAAAAGAGAGGGATGACCATCAGTATCTCCCAAAACTAAAACCATGGTGATCTCAAGAGAGGAGAAAAAACACCAGATCATAATGGGACAGTGTGCACTGGAGCAAGTTAACTATTTCAAATACCTAGGAGTTGTATTAGACCGAAACGGAGGCATTCAGACTGAGCTGGCTACACGAAAAGCAGCTGCTGGGAGACTCTTCCAGGCCTTAAACCAAGGGTTTCTTACCAAAAGAGAAATTGGCAAGAGGACGAAAATGGCTGTTTACCGCTCTACATATGTACCAGTCCTGACCTATGGGTGTGAGTCATGGGCAATGACAACAGCTCACAGAAGCCAGCTGCAGGCCTCAGAAATGAGATATCTGAGAAAGGTGGTCCAAGTGACAAGAAGGGACAAAGTCCGCAATCAGACAATACGTCAAGATCTTGATACCCAGTCCTAACAAATCCGAGTGGATCAGTCACTGTTACGATGGTTTGGACATGTATGCAGAATGGGAGAAAATCGGCCACCATGGCAGGCATGAATAGCTAAGATCCAGGGAACCAGACCTCCAGGACGTCCCAGGGTGCCCTGGGAAGACAACATCTGACAGTCCCTGACTGACAGAGGACTGCAATGGAACACAGCCAGAAAGAAAACTTCTGATAGAGACGTCTGGCGATCTCTCTGGCAAACCTCTACACCCCAAGGTAGAAGAGGAACGACTAAGTAAGTAAGTAAGTAAGACTTTCTGGTACAAGTTTTTTTTTTTTTTTTTAAATATCTCTAGAAAAATGAATTTGGTAACCTGTGACTATTCGCTGCCTTTGAACAGATGCCATGGAATAAAAACATTATCAGCATCTACATCAGAACTTTCCAATCTGTTACTGCTGGTGACACACTTTTTAAACGAACTGAATTTATCGACGGTAATTCCGCCCACTAGCTAACCCGAGGCAAGCAGGCTATGGCACGCGGGTCAAACCCAGCACCACTCAGCAATTTGTATGTACCCGCGACGCTGCTGTGAGACCACTATATAATCTGGCCTTTGAGTTCATAAAACAGGAGAACACAAAAACATAGGTTCCAACACAGAAAGAAGAAAAAACCAAATATGAACATCCGAAAAAGTGATAATCTATAGCAGTGGTTCTCAACCTTTCTAATGCCGCGACCCTTTAATACAGTTCCTCATGCTGTAGAGACCCATAATAAGCATGCAATTAGTTTTGTTACTACTTCATAACTCCAATAAATATGTGTTTTTCGATGGGTCTAGCTAGACCCATGTGAAAGGGTCGTTCGACCCACACAAAAAGGCGTCGGGATCCACAGGCTGACCTAAAGAATGATGACGAGAAACTGATGTCGCAAAACCTTTCATCCTGCTAGTCTTCTTCTTCTTCTTCGCGTTTACCAGCTGTACACTCTGGCGTAAAGTTCTGGTTGTTCGACCACTTCTGGACTGCAGTCCTGCTCCAGAACCTGAGTGTTGGGTGTGCATCAGTTTTACAGATCTGATTCAATTGAATGTAGACTGCTGGTTCCTTGCCTCTCAGGCAGATGTACTCCGACTTCAAAGGAAGCTCCCCAGTTAGTCGACTCTTACGACATGCTTTTGGGGAGGCAGTGGGTCTATTCTTGTTTACCCCACAATAGGGCCCCGGAACCCACACGGGGGATACATCCTGCTAGTGAAACACGTGTTGTGGACAAACTCAGATTAGCTGAAAGTTTCTGTCTGTGAACTCGTATAAAATATTACTAGGCGATGACCGGTTTTTTTTTTTTTTACAGACACATTTAGGAATATAAAGAAGTGCATCAGTGGGTGAGTGTGTCTGACCAGAGGCGTAGCGAGGGATTATAATCTTAAATTATCTGACAAGAATATCCTATTACAAGGAAATCTGGGTATTGTGTTTATAATGTATGGTCCTTACTTTCTCTGTCGGTGTCTGTGGCTTAAGCACTGCGAACGCGTTTGGTAATGCCGGGGTGCTTGGCCACGCACGCCAAATATAATCATTAGGACATGGGAAACTAAAACAAAAACAAAAAGCATGATGGTCGGTACAAGTGTTTTCGAGATCTTTGTTAGTCAAAGTATGACGGCATGAGTTTTGAAACTCACTATAGTATAATATCTTCTCTGTAATATATTCTCTGACACACGGAGACGCGATCACTTGTTTAGTAAATAATACTGTCTCTAGCCCGGCGACGCGGTGACATGTTTAGTAAGAAATTATTTCTCTAGCCCAGAAACGCGGACATATGTTTAGTAAGTAATACTTTTTCTAGCCCGGAGACGAGGTCAACTGGTTAGTAAGCAATATTTTCTCTGTATAGCAGGCGTATTTAATCAGCAAAACGTCAACAATATTTATTATATACATTCTTTACGTCCTTCTTAGGACGAAATTTTTTGTTATTTAAAGCCCCATTCTGGCATTTGCCAGGGGCCGCAATATAGGCAGGCCATCAATATGGCCAATTGTCTGAACGCGGTTTCTGGGACCTCTCCACGGTGATCCTCATCCGCATGGTGGCACTTTGTGTCATCGGGTGTTTATCGCTTGTGTGATGTCCTGGTGGGGTAGAAAGTCAGTCAACAATATTTATTCTAAATGCGTAGCAGTAAACTACGAGAGAGCGAAAATATCAAAAACATCTACCCACAAAAACAAACAACTTTACGTATTTTAGCCCTTTAAATAATCATAGTATCACAAAAGAAACAAACTACTATAAGTATTTAGCCCTCCAGGTGATTACAGCATCGCAAAAACAAACAACTACTATAGGTGGGGGGGGGTTTTTAGCCTAGAATGGTGGGGGCGTTGGGGGGGGGGGGGGGGGGGTGGGGGGGGGGGGGGGGGGGTTGGGGGGGGGGGGGGGGGGGGGGGGGGGTGGGGGGGGGGTGGGGGTGGGGGGGGGGTGATCATATTATCACAAAAACACAACTGATATATGTACTTTAGTCCTTCGTGTGTTCATAGCACAAAAAACACAACTACTATGCGCATTTAGCCCTCCAGACGATTACAGTATCACAAAAACAAACAACTACTATACGTATTTTAGCCTTCCAAGTGATCATAGTATCGGCTACCACAGTCTGCTCCCAATGATAACTCAGACACTCGATGAGATAACCAGCGAGCCAGCTGGGGCCAACACCGCAAAACTAACAGGGGGAAACGGTACAGTTCAGGCACATCTTATCCCAAAATTAAAAATAAACAAATAATAACCGGTTCGTCGTCATCTGTTGTTGTGTGATGGCTGGGTAACATGTTTACGTCTCGCTGTTTGATAGGTCGGCCGTAAACAAGAGTTGGCCACCAGGGTACACGCCGCAGCTATTGATCTGCGTGACGTTCATCAATGATTGTGATATGAAATCTATTTTTGTACGGCTGTTGGTTATTTGTGATCATCAGGCGCCATTTGTTTCATAAAGCCGCGACTGGGGTGATTTCGTGGCGCATACACATGTATGTAGAGGTGTGAACTGTTTGGGTTTTACTTCAGTGGGCAACAATTTATGAGACAAGGGGTTCCCAGTTAGTTTAGACGTAGGGGCCCTTTTAATTTTTAGAAGATCTGCCGCAAAAGTAATAGCCAAAACCTTACTTGAATTGGTTCTTAATTTTTCATTCACCCCAAACACAGGAAACGCCAGAGGTACCAGAAAAGTCCAATAATACAGGGGTGTTAGGGTTAAGGTTAGTCGGTGTTCATTTCAAACCGTAACACCCTTATAAGATTGGAATCTCCGGGATTCTCCGTGTTTGGGCTGAATAAAAATAAAGAAACTTATAATCTATAAAAATACAGTGGTGCTTCGGTGTGTCAGCTTGAGTACTCGACTCATGAAGATCAAGTGAAGTTATATTGTCATACATTTGAGTTTCAGGACCCGGAGCGCTAGCTAGCTGGTTAAACCAGCTAGGCGTCGACAGGGTGACAAACTCCTTGGGGTCCGAGTTCACGCTTGGGGGTAGGTAGAAAAGCCACATATTTCCCAGATTTACAGTATCTATCGTAGAATCAAGGTCGATTGGTTGCGATATCCATAGTACCGAACCAAAGGGTTTACGACTCATGGTTTCTGGACCACCCCCCCCCCCCCCCCCCCCCAAGTATCAGGCAGTAAACACATTATTTTAAGCAACCCCATCAATGCATATTTTGTTAATAACAATAGACTGCACCCGCCCCCCCCCCTCTCCCCTTATGAGAACGGGTTAGTCATTCCCCCTTCATTTCTTATAGGAAATTCGTTTATAAGAAGAGGGAAAATCGAACCTGTTGTGACCACTGGAAACATTTGCGGAAGCAGGGGT